ATCTACATTTATCTTTGATTGAGATTCAAAACGCAAATGCGTTGTCATCCGTGAGGACTAAGATGGAATGCCTCGTTTCCAGTAAAAGAGTTTTCAGATCTCTACACTCACCATACGAAACACAGCAGTACTAAGCTGCTATTTTATACTGGTATTCTGTGAGAGCGTGGTGTTCCCCGGTCTAACCGACCCATTCGTGCTACAACAATAATATGGCTGCTGCGTGGTTGTACCACTACCTACTATTTGGAAACTAACGTTCATTAATCTTAATAGTATATATTAATTTTATTTACAAATAGTTATAAAACAGCATTTGTATATTAATGTGTATTATAATGATAGCTCCGAATGGAATAATCATACATTTATTACAGGATACCAAAGTCCATTGCTGAACAAAGGCTTACAAAGGCTTTATTGATTGCCTCATGGGAGGGATATTTGCCATAGTTGCCACGCTAGTTTAGCTGGCTTTTATCGGGCCAGCTGACAACCAAAGTCTTTTTTATTATTATTTGGATTTGTTGTCAGGAAGATGCTGCTGCGCAGCTACAGTTTTATTTCCCCCTGTCACCTCTTATGACACCCATGCGATGATATTCTCGGTATTCTTACGCCGCCACTACGTGGTGCAGGTGGGTCATACACATAAACCAGTTAAGATTAAAAATAAAAATTGGTTTATTAGCATTTCTTTTCTAGACAATAGACATGTTAAGAATCGTTATTTAGAAACCTTGGTGCTCAAATTTTAAAAATATATATGAATTTTTTCTACGCCAAACATGAAATTTTTTTCACAATGTTGCCCTTCTGTGGACTGTTCGGATTCGTAGTGACGTAATATAAATGCACTTAAATTTAGTTTTTAACAACGGTTTTTCAAATTAGCTTTGATTATTCAATTTAGTTTATAGTTTACATAAGATTTTTGGTCATGTATTAGACGTATATAGGCTGTAACTTTACTTTTTTTACTTTTATGATTGCAAACTGTCTCTTATTTATTACCAGTTGACCATCAATGGTAATTTTGGTTTTATGCAATGCAATGCAAGTAATGAAAAAAATAAGTAGAAAATACATTCTGATGTAAATGACAGAACCTATACGAGTACCATACGACAACGAAGGCGAATAAAATTAGCAATGAATTTGCCGCCTACACTCTATGAAGAATAATTTGTTATGCCAGATTTAATCAAAATTTTGTTATACATTTATAGCCTATTTTATTATATAATCATATTTTCTATTTATAGTCTGTACAAGAGTTTTCTTTTATACCAAATAAACAAATAAATAACGGCCTTTGATAAAAGAATACCATAAATTTATCTGAATATAGAATTGAAAGTCAAACTTATTTCAGTTCAAAATGACCAGTTGAACAAAACGACAATTTTATAGGTAAAGCATAATGTATGTATTTTCAAGCTTAATTAGCTATCAGATCAACACACCTCGATCTAATGTCTGTGATCAGTTGATTTAAATTTATATATAAAAATATTACGGAGAAAACAGAACACGCAAGAAGCTTTTTTTATTTCAATAAAAAATTCAAGTACGAGTACATAATCGCAGTTGAATACGTCTAAACTAGCTTGCCAGGCAGACGTTGTTATGCCCTTTTCGACGATCCTTTGTCATGTCCTATTAAAAAAAATCCTTAAATTCGCAAAAAAAATTGTGGCCACTCATGGGCAAAAAAACTATCCTATCTCTCAAGTTGTGTGCGAATTTTATTAAAATCGGTTAAGTAGTTTAGGAGTCCATCGCGGACCAACAACGTGACGCGTAATTTATATATATAAAGATAACGGCTGCTGACCACACTTCACATTTCTCTTACCATCTTTAAACAATAATTTAAATATTGCATTACTGTGTGTAGTAGAAACCTGTAATTTTTAAGGCATTACCCGAGTACAACTTTGCGTATGCAGTCCACGACCACCATACTGGTGACATAAAATCTCAGCATGAGTTCCGTCATGGAGATCTTGTGAAGGGAGTGTATGAATTAATTTAACAGACGGCCGTTATAGGAAAGGTGGTGTACAAAGCTGATGCTCATACAGGGTAAGCTGTATGATTAATTATATATGGATGGTAGTGATTTTCATTATACACAAAAAAAAAAAATATATATATATATATAATCGGAATCTCGGAAACGGCTCCAACGATTTTCACAAAATTTTGTGTACAGGGAGTTTCGGGGGGCAATAAATCGATCTAGCTAGGATTTATTTTTAGAAAATGTCTTTTTTGTCCGTGTTTTTAGGCAATGAAAAACTGCTACAATATCGTTAGAATAAGAAAGTAAATTTTGACAGTTCGTTAGTGATTACAAACAATTGGGATATTGGGTAAAAATCTAATACCATGGTTCGAGCCCAGACCCAACCGACCGACTTTTTTTTAATTTTTTTCAAGTTCCTTTCTTTTTTTGAGAAAATCTATTTTTTCGAGCCCTTTTTTTAGTATTTTTTTAAAAACATGAAAATTTAAATTAAACTAATTGCACTCATAATTTTTTATTCAAATAACCAGTTCAGTTTTTTCTATTATGTCGTTAAGATCAAAAAATATTATTCGTATATCATATATGTAATATATATATAAATATAATTTCCAAAACACACGAATTAAAAAAAAACCGAGCGAAAAATACGCACGACACACACACACACACATACACACATAGATATACTGGTGAACGAAGTATGAGCATATGGCACTGATATTTTACAAAAATAAAAACAAAAATTTTGAATTAAACGTTAGGAAAAAAATTGAGCAATTCCTTTGCCCTTTACCCTTGAGCCTGTGACCCTACAAAGTGACAAGGTCAAAGATGGCTACTAAATTTATTTAATTTTATTTATTTACTTAATTCAAAAAAGGAATTGTTCACAAGGAGTGGCTAAGGGGAAGATGTACATAAATATACCTACAATAAAGTTAAAAAATACTATTAATAAGAACGCAAGATTATGACACGAAGTGTGAAGGGAATCAAAAGTGTTCCAAGTAATAAAACGTGAGTAAATTTTTGAAGGAAAAAGAAGAATTGAGCACGGCGATTATATATGTAGAAGGGAGGAGTTCCACAATCTACAGCTGGGATAAAAAATAATTCAGAGAGGATGAACGTACGGGAGTATTTTATACTCCAATGATGATACTTGATGATCATTAATTACAAAATACAATTTAATTACAATATTTTATATCTAAATCAATCATTATTTTCAGGGAGTGTATTAATGAATATTTTTAGTCAATTTATTACATATTAAGAAAAATAGACGAACGAATTTCAAGTCGACTCTTAAAGTGCGTTTACGATACAGAGTCATTGCATTGACATTTATCGTCATGTGTGATTTTAAACCGGAAGATTCACTCAAATTTACAAATTTTGTTTATATCAGTCATAAAATAAAATAATCTTGAAAATTGAGACAGCATATGTCTCAATTTTCAAAATCCTGTTCAAGAACCTGCGTTGATCTTGAAAATTAAGACAGCTTGGAAGAGTGTCTTAAGCAATAAAATTTACAGGCCGATGATAGGGATAATTACGATGATATACCTGCTTTTCTAATTATATTATTGTAGGAACCAGAAAATTTAATAACATATAAGTGCTACTATAATAAACTAATTCGGGAAATCGCAATTAAAGATACATAGGAAACATGATAATTAAACAGCAACTTTATTATCCTTTGTATAAAAACCTGTAGATACAAAGCAAGAATTAGTATACCTAATAACCGCATTAAAACTAGTAAAGATGACTTGGAAGGTAAACCAATAAATTTTGAATCACATTTTTTTTATAATTGCATTAAAATAATATGTATTTACCCATGAAATTGCCATCCTGTAGTACTGGTCATTTCAAATTAAAATAATTTTATCTGGTTAAGAATTCTAATTTCAAATGAATGTTATTTTAAATTTTGTTTATTAATTGGTGTTATATTTTCATCGCATTTTAATCTGTTTCTTCATCATGGATACGCTAAAAATTTGAGAAATTATGGAATATGCGTACCGTCCGAATAGCAGCGCGGCACAAGAGGCACGCAACATCCACGACGTTTACGGAACGAATACTACAAACGATAACACCACCTGTTATTCGTTTGCCCGCATCCGTTGTGATAATTTTGTCCTGAAAAATGAACCCAGTGTTCGTCTGAAAACATTGGTCGACAATGACTAATTAAAAGCGATTGAAAGCTGATAATATTCAATCTGCGACTGTATTAGCAGCAGCTTTCGACGTTAGCTTCAAAACAATGGGTGCGTTTGGCAGAAAAAAGCGCTAGCAAGCGCTTGTAAGCAAAATGGCGATCGTAAGCGGTAAGCGCTGTCAAATCGTAAGTAGCTATTTTCCTCCAGGACACGATGTTAGTTTTAACCGGGGGAATCTAACCTAATTTAAATATATGTTTGTAAAGTATTCATATTAAAAACTTACCAATCATGAGTTTTTAATAGCATGTATATGTTTATTCATGTCATTATATTACTTAAAACTAATATTGCACAAAACAACTTATAAACTCTACTTCAAAACAAACAAATTAAATAAGCAAAATGGCGGATTGTGTCAGCGCTACTGAAGTAGCAATCGTGTCCTGGCCGAAAACTATTTTAGCGCTTATAAGCGCTTGCTAGCGCTTTTTTCTGCCAAACGCACCCATTATTCTTCCATTTGCGTCAAATTGGCAAGGTAAAAAAACTTGACAAATGAGTGCCCCACGAACTCAATAACCGCCAACACGAAATAGGCGTCGACACGTGTGTTGCACACTTGCTCAACAGGCACAAACGAAGAAATTTTAAATCACATTGTTACCTGCGACCAAAATGTAGAACGTGATCGTAAATGTCTTTTTTAGTTGACAGTATAAATTTTGGTAAGATATGAATTTCTTTTCTGTTTTTAGTTTCTAATACTTTTGGGCCTTACAATGGGCAGCCTTGCTCACGATCAGCAAGCAATTTCACATCAAAAATTAATTCAACATCACTTGCCTGATCATGATGGTCATTATGGCGAGCTTTCACACATTGGACATCACGCACCTGAACATCATACAGAATACGTAAGTGGTTTTGATTATTTTATCGAAACGTTGTATATCTTATTGACACCCTTATAATACTTGTATTAAAAAAAATATTTAACTGTCCATAACTTTTTATGTTTTTCGTTCAATTTGTCTATGAATTTTTGATGATTATAGGCCTGGTCATATCCTTCATATGAGTTCTCATATACAGTGGCCGATCCTCATACTCATGATAACAAAGGGCACCATGAAACCAGAAACGGAGATACTGTTAAAGGAATGTATTGGTTGATGCAACCAGATGGTCTCAAACGCACTGTGACCTATTACGCGGACAAACACAGTGGGTAAGGGAAAATCTTCTTTAATAATAAAGTTTAAAAAATTAGACCCTTTTAGAAAGCTCGTCATGCCGAGTAAAGAATCGACATGTGTTATATTATAATATCAAAACTTCTTTCGATTCCATAGAGATTTTCATATTTTTTACTATTATAAGCCAGTTTTTAACCACACTCTCACCTAATGATAAGTGGTAAAGCAGGCAAAGAAAGAAAAGTGCATTGACCTAGCTTAAAAAAAGCCAATTCACTCTTGCTTCTTCAATTCTCTGCTCTGCATTTCTCGTATTTGCGCAAATTGAACAAATTCAAATGTGGATGACATAACAAGGAAATTGATAGAATCAGGCGTTACTTTGCGGAAATCCTTTATAATAAAGATATTGATTAATTTGCAATCTTCCGCTAACTAAATACAATGATGTATCTTACCTGGATTGAAGAGCACGTCCCGCCCTCCCTCAATCGCGTGCGCTAATTCCATCACCAATAGTCCCAGCACCACTACTCCCAACACCACTACTCCCGGCACCACTACTTCCAACACTACTATTCCAGGAAAGACACACCACCGACGATAATACGACACGTGTTTCGCCCCTACACGAGGCATCCTCAGGTAATGTAGACTCTACGGCGTCTGACCGCTCTTCAATCCAGGTAAGACACATCATTGTATTTAGTTAGCGGAGGGTTGCAAATTATTCAATATATTTATTATAACAAGGAAAGTTAAGACACTATACATACTTGTTTTTTTCTTTGTTACAATAAACACGGTAACATTTTATTCATTTGTTAATAAAGACTATTTTCTTTTTTTAGGTTTAATGCTCAAGTCGAATACTCAGATCCCTATTACCATAAACAAGTGCATCAACATCAAGAACCCAAGTCCGAAGTTTATGCAATCATCAACTCTTTGCCTCATGATTCTTACAACGCATATGCAAATGATCATCACGAGTATTTGTTTAAGCCCCTTTATGATCAATATAATAGCATTCCATATGATTATTATTCTATTCGCCAGTAATTAATATAAATCCATCTTTTTTAGCATTTTTTACAAGACGGTAACAAACTTGTTGTATGGTCCTTATTGAACTTTAAAGAATTTGATATCTTTGATATGCAAATTAAAAAAGGTATAAAATGATGTATGCTACAACCTTTTACCTCAAGTTTTTTGAACAATCGTATTATGTGAAAGTAAAGGAAAGTCAATAACTAAACAATATATAGCATTGTAAATAGAATGACTGAAAACAATAAATAAATATGAATTTTCAATGCTTCCTTTTTATTTTCTATCTAATTTTTACTGATATTTCAATATAATTAATATTCTGGATTGGTATCTACGGATTAGCAAGCTGAAGAGCTTGAAGAGCAGACAACCAAAAAATCACCGAACAACCCTCCTTTCCATTAGATAAAATGAAATTGAATGAATATCTTCATTTCTTCAACAAAAGATTTCGTTTGTCAAACGAAGATTTTTAGTCAACTACTATTCCAAAATACACTGTTGCATCAATCTTAAATGAATATATTATTACACCATTCATTGAAAGCTACAAAATTATTTTTTGTTATTTATTCTTTTATGCACAATATTGGTTCTTAATATGACGTACTTGATTCCTAAAAGCATTCTCTTACAGTCAACCATTAAGATAAGCAGAGATATACATATAACCGTAAACGCTTCTGAAACCATTAAATCCAAATCAAAGAAATCCGTTGAATTTTGATTAAAATGCTCGAAATATTTTTACTAGCACTGAATTCAAAGACTCAAATTGTACTTATAATATATTTACGTTTTTATAAATGCCACTTAGTAGTATCATTCTTTTTCTTCTCCATCATTTTTATCTGCTTGTAGATGTCCACTGCTTGGCATGGCCTTCTCCCGTTGGTAGGTCGTCACGTTTTCCAGGCAGCTTGACAACAGCAGTGCCACTTTGGAATACGTTACGAAATACCAAAAGATATATTATACTGTCGTATAACAATATATCTTTTGGTATTTCGTAACAAAAAATATAATTTAATCTTTTGAAATATAAGATTTCTCAGTGAATGTTAGAGACAAAGATGTGTGAAAATTATTATCACTTGCCTTATATTAAATTAAATAAACGTTTCTTTAATGTGAGAAATTATAATTATATTTTTACTTTCATTTTTGAAAGATTTACATTTTAAAATAAAATTCCTCTGACCAAAAGACAAAAATAAAAAAACTCTACTGGTGCTAATTTTCGTAGTGCAGTACTTGTTATCATTTTATTAATACAAAAACTTATTTGTTTAAAGTACTAATAAATTAAGAGACTACAAAGCATTCCATCCTAGTCTTTTTTATTTATACTTGGCTTAAGGTGTCCAAGGAGTACCATCATCTAAATTACAAATTCAAGAATAAAGTACTGGTTACTAAAGGTTTATTACATGAAATTCCAGCGAAAAATTAGGTTATATAATAATAATAATAATAATGGAGATGCAGCTCCACATTCGACAGACCAGCATCCACACGTGGAAGCCGCCCTGGATCTTCCCGTTGTGGTTGATTCGAACGACGATGAAATAGTCTCCCACGAACTAGAGAAAATGAGGAGTATACTGGAAGAGGCGATTTTGGAAACGCGCAGCACCCCTATCGAAAATCGACCGCGACTTCCCCGCATACCCCTAAGCAAGCGAAATCGGGCTGTCGTGAGGGCTCTTAACCCAATGCTGGTGACCTATTTGGAAGCCAGCCGGGACCTTTGCGAGACGGACTCAATTCTCTTTGGCGCCGCAGTGGCAGTTTGCCGTATTATTGGCGCCAAACTTCCCATGGCTGGACGCGCTACTACACAAAGTAGCGCCATCCCAGCCTGGAGAAAAAGAATCGAGGACCGTATCGCAAAGGCAAGGGCCCTTATCGGCAGACTGACAAGCTTCAGGTCGGGTAATAATAGACCGAGGATTATGCGCACCGTTAGGATGGCGTTTGCTGGGACAAATATCAGTTTGTCCCAGCCGGATATCACGCAGAAACTAACGGAGCGCATAGACGACCTGAAGCAAAAGATCGCTGCTTGGGGGAAGCGGATTCGACGATTTACCGACAGGTCAAGGCGGTTCAACCAGAATCGTCTCTTCCAGAGTGATCAGAAGAGGCTCTATAAATCATTGGAGCGGCCAAAGGTATGTGGAGCGGGCCAAGGACCGGATCAGGCAGACATTATCGCATTCTGGCGTGGCCTGTGGTCAGAGCCCGTAAACCACAGCGAGGGCCCTTGGATGGAAGTTGTGGCGAGCCAGGGTGCGAGTGTTACGCCTATGGACCCCATCACCGTAACGCCGGAAGACGTGGCTGAGGCGGTCCGTAGGGCCCCGAACTGGAAAAGTCCGGGGCTCGACGGGCTGCATCATTACTGGCTGAAGGGGTTCATAGTGTGTCACGCTGTGCTCGCCCGACAGTTTCAAGAGGCTCTCGACCAGAAGTCGCTCCCGAGCCTCTTCACTACTGGGATCACTCACTTGGTTCCTAAAGATCAGGATACCACAGACCCGAGCAAATACCGCCCCATCACGTGTCTATCCACCATATATAAGACACTGACATCCATTTTGAGCGCGAGAATCACTCGGCACCTGGAGCTAAACCAGTTGATGTCACGCGCTCAAAATGGATGTCGGGGCGGTGGTCGTGGAACCAAGGAACCACTCCTCATTGACGCGGTCATAGGCAAAGTGGTGAAACGCAACCGTCGGAACTTCTCTGCCGCCTGGATAGACTATAGAAAGGCATTCGACTCGGTGCCCCATACATGGCTAAAGAGGGTTCTCGAGCTGTACAAGATTGACTGTACAGTTAGAGACTTCCTCGAGCAGTGTATGGGGCAGTGGAGTACGATCCTTTGTCATCTGGGCGAGCGGATGATGGCTGCGGAGAACCACATAAGGATAAGAAGGGGTATCTTCCAGGGCGATTGTCTGAGTCCAATCTGGTTCTGCCTCTCTCTAAACCCTCTCAGTACCTTACTGGAGGGCTCCGGGAGGGGATTTCAGCTACGGAGAGGAGGGACAAAAGTGACCCACCTTTTTCTATATGGATGACCTCAAGTTATTCGCCTCCAGTCGCTCCCATCTTATGGAACTGCTAAACATCACTTGTGAATTTAGCAGTTCCATTGGAATGGAGCTGGGGACGGATAAGTGTGCGGTCCTCCATGTTGAGAGGGGAAGGGTTGCTAACTCTGAGGGCATAGACTTGTCTATGCCCGTCAACTTAAGGACCCTTTCCGAGGCTGAAACATACCGATACCTGGGTATGTCACAGAACATCGGTATCGATGAGGCTGGTATGAAACAGTCAGTTTGCGACGTGTTTTATGCACGCTTGACCAAAGTGCTTAACAGCCTTTTGTCCGGTGTGAATAAGTCACACGCATATAATTGCTGGGTCATGCCTGTCCTCATGTATACCTTTGGCATACTCAGGTGGACTCAGACTGAGCTTAACGCCCTGGATAGAAAAGTCCGCACTACCATGACGTCCCATAGGATGCATCATCCGAGATCGTCGGTAATGAGGCTGTACTTGCCGCGAAAGCATGGTGGGCGTGGCTTTCTGAGCGCGCTCACCATGCATAATCGCGAAGTGTGCAGTCTCCGTCAATACTTCTTGACGAGATCGGATGATCCATTCTATAATGACGTCATTTCTAGTGATAAAGGGCTTACCCCTCTATCCTTAGCCAACGAGCAATGGCAGGACCCGGCAGTGCTTAGCATTCCCGACCGGGAGACCGTATGGAAGGAGAAGGAGCTCCACGGGAGGTACTACAAGGCTCTACATGAGCCCTTCGTAGATACAGTCGCCTCCCTCAACTGGCTACGTTTCGGTGACCTTTTCGGGGGAAACCGAGGGTTTTGTCTGTGCAATACAAGATCAGGTTATTAAGACCAACAACTATCGGAGATACATCCTAAAGGATGGCACCGTCGACGTCTGTCGAGCTTGTCGCCATCCCGGGGAGTCACTTAGGCATGTCATCTCCGGTTGTTCGGCGCTTTCTAACTCTGAGTACTTGCACAGGCACAACCTAGTAGCCAGAATTCTACACCAGGAGCTCGCTCTGAAATACGGTCTCGTGGACCGGAAAGTGCCGTATTACAAGTACTTGCCGGAAGCCGTGCTCGAAAATGACCGCGCCAGGCTCTACTGGGACCGGGCCATCATCACAGATAGGACTATTCTTGCGAATAAACCTGATATTGTGCTGATGGACCGGGCACAGTCAAGAATATTTTTGGTCGATATTACCATCCCGTATGACGAGAATCTCGTGAAAGCCGAAACAGATAAGCAATCAAAGTATCTGGACCTGGCTCACGAGGTGACCGACATGTGGGGTGGTATGCCGACCGAAATTATTCCTGTAGTCGTCTCTGCGAATGGGCTAATCCCAGTTAGCCTCTCTGGTCATCTGAGGCGACTGGGACTCCGTGACGGACCGCTCCGGGCTCAAATGCAGAAGGCGGTGCTCCTTGATACTGCCCGCATCGTCCGCCGGTTTCTTTCCCTTTCCCCCTAACCCTCGGCCGTTTGGTCTCCCCTGCCGAGGGCTTCCATCTGGTTGGGCTTTTATTTATTTATGTATTTTTGTATTTATTTTATTTTATTAATATTTATGTATATTTATCTTTTCATTTTCATTTATAATTATATATTTATACATCCCAACCAGATGAGAAAACTATATAGATACCCCACATAATAATAATAATAATGACCGGTTAGTGGCGACGTAAGAATATTTGCTACCTCATATCGTCATATGGGAATCGTAAGAGGCGACAGGATAAAACAAACCAGAAGATTGGCAACAACCAAAAAAAACCAAACGTGGCAACTATAGCAAAGCAAACCTTCAAGAAAATAGCCAATTCCTTTTTAAAAGGCCGGCAATACATCTGCAATCCTCCTGGTGTTGCAGCTGTTCATGGGCGGCGGTAATCACTTACCATCAGGTGAGCCGTATGCTCGTTTGCCCCACTACTATAAAAAGGGCCTCAATCTTCAGCAGTGGACTTTTCATAGAATGTAACGGTTACGAAACATTATAATACAAAAATAAAATAAAAAAATTAATATCTGAATGCCTCGGGGGCCCACAACGTGATGTTCTACGCACGACTACTTTGTGAAATCTGTGAATCTGAAAAATCACTAGCGATTAAGCCGAACCAACATGACTTAGAAGCCTTCAAGAAAAAATCCCACCTCTTCCTACAAGTCCAGTAATACTCCTGTGATTCCTTTCAGCCTTCCTTCCAGCTGTTCATGGGTTACGGTGGTCATCAGGTAAGTATCATGCTCGTTTGCCCATTCTTTTTTAATAGTAACGAAAGAGTAATTGATCCTGTATCCATGCATGTGCATGAAAACTAATTAAACAATAATGTCAAAATTTATTTTTTAACTATTACTGAAAAGTATTCAACAAAAATATTTAAAAAAAAATAAATAGATTTGAAGAATATTTTCGAGAATTTAAACAAAATTGTGATTTAATCTGATCATCAGCCTGCGGCAGTCCATTGGCGTATCTTAAGTTCGGTTTGACGTCCCTTCAGATGCGCTAATTATCTTCGACTTCACGTCGCTCCATCTAGCCAGGAGACGTCCCAAGCCTTGTTTATCTAACCGCAGGCTCCACTTTATAATACGTCCACTTTGAGGGTTGTAGCTTCTGCCACAAATGTTAACAGTCCATTGCCACTTCAGCTTGCAAATAAGAAGGCTATATCGGTGACCTTATTTCTCCGGCAGATTTATTCGTAACGAATCTTATTCATCAGAGAAACTCCAAGCATAGCTCTTTGTATCGCTCGCTGGGTGACTTTAAGTTTGTGAAGTAGTGCATATATGTGAGTACAGGTACTGGTCGAAGACTTTCGTCTACAAGCTTCGCGGTATGGGTGACGAGAAAACCTAACGAAGCTTCTCGAATGTTACCCAGCTCTCCTGAATATTCTACAGCCTATCGGCTTCTTTCTGGAAGTTGTCTCTATCTAACTGCAATTTTTAAAAAAGTGTATTTAAACTATGATTTCAACTTGTTATAAAAATAAATAAGATATTGGATTGTTAGCCTGCAATAAAATTTAAGATTTTATTCGTTAATAAAACTTTGCTATCATTTTCTAATAAGGCACTGCTTAAAATCAAGTAACGTAGAGTTTGAATGTTTATTAAGTAATTTTTTCATATTATTCTTTGTGAATTTCATTAGTTTTAAACTAATACTCTAGTCTTAAACTTTCAAACTAATCGTATTTTCAAAAGAATAAGACTTTTTTTCTTTTTCGAAGTTCCAATACCTTCAAATACCTCAAAAGAAAAAAAAAGAAAAATGCACGCAACAAAATGAACCTGTAAGGTTCGGACGGGCAACAAAACCGAATCTTTAAGTTCACTTTCTTGTTCGTCCGTCTGTCCGTCTCAAGTCAAGTTTCTTTTTCTCGGGAACGGATATACGAGTAGGTATCAAATTGAAATTAATGTGTAAAAAATCAAGCTTCTATGTCAACGCATTCAAAAAATATGGGCATTTAAGTATCATATCTTGAGTCTCGCAAACTCACTCTTCGAAACCTATATAGTATTTCCGTTGATCTAGAATCATGAAATCTAACAAGATCGCACAGCAAAAGTAAAGAAAAATTAATTTTGTGGCTTGAGAGTAGGCTTTAAGAGGTCTATGTCAAAGTCTGCCAAAACAATATTATGTGTGTAAGCAAAACAGAATTGCAGCAATTTTTACACAGTCGTAAAAGGCTTTGCGAATATGAAAATGGAAAAGTATCTAAAATTTTGAAACTAATTCATGACGTAAATTAATAGAGACACCTCCACTACACCTAGTGCGATCGTTACAGAATAAAATAATTCCGGTAGACTGTCGGTCTTACGACAAGTTCAAGTTCAGAAGTTATCCAGAAGCTCCATGTATTACTGAGGAATACTTTGTGCATTTAAGTGACATATGTTAAAACAATTTTTTGAATTTATCACTTATTAATGAAGGGAATGTAACAACTCCACAGCGAAAGGGAAGAAGAGCTGTTGCAATAAAATATGAATATTCATCATCTGATGTTAGATAAAAATATTAAAAAAAATAATCAAGTAAGTAAATGTTTAAAAAATGTATATCATCATGCATCACCCTCCGGTCAACTCATTACAAGTCCACTGTTGCAAACAGGCCTCGTCGAAGGTATGCCACATACCACAGTCCTGAGCTAACTATATCCATCAACTTAAACAGATCATCACTCTATACAGTAGTAGGCAGCTTTACTCTTCACTT